CTTAGGATATATCCTCATGCTTCGAAATGACTTTTCGTATATCTATGTATATATCTATATGTATTGTATTTCAACACGTTGGAGTGGGTTACCAGCATCTCTCGCTGAACAGATATATTTGGCTTTCAGGCACAGAAGAATAAGTCACTGGAGCGTGCTAGAACTTGGAGCGTAGATGTAGATAGTTCCCTTTCGGCCTGCGTGCCATGTTATGCATTTACTTTATTAAGGATATTAGTTAGTTAGCCTGTGCACCTGAGTTCTCCAGCTCAGGTGTGGCATAGCACCCCATACTCTTGTATTACGTTTTGGGATTTAATGAGATTCTACCTTTATTATATAAGTTTTAAAAGTCTTGAAAATCCCAGGTGTTACAGGTTAGGGAATCCAATAACATTCCAAACATTCAAACGGTTGTAAGTTGAGCCGTTCAGGCATTTTCTTACATGGAATATGTTGGAAAAAATAGCTTAAAATGACATTAAATGTGACTATTTTGTGGTACAATTATTAGTGTGGTCCATTTTCGATTTAGGTCGGATCAAAATGGATTCAAATTCTTCGTAGTGACACGAAGAGATTGATATATTGTATGCTCAAAATGGAGAATGTGTGAATGAGAAAATGATTCTCAAAGTAGACCCATTTGAATTGGAAAATTGAAGAGAAAAATAAGAAGCTTTTGTCCCACATTGGTTTGGGAAGCGGGTTTGCACCACTATTTATTCATAATCCGATCCACTTGGATCATGTGCGTTCAACGCAATCTAACAGTCAATGAACACTTGGATCAAATAATCCGATTTCAGTGCTAGTCATGAATCATATTCTAGACTTAGAGAAAGTGCCTAAAGTGCTTAACATGACCTTAAAAGTTGAAAGAAAAATTAAATACACTAAACTCATACAGTCTCATACAGTCTAATGCTTAATGCCATACAAAAAGATATAGGATATATCAACCCAAAATGCACTAAACTCGCCATACAAAAAGAGGCTGGAACTCATACAACCTAATGCCATACAAAAAGAGGTTGGTTGCAGTCTCAACAAATGTTGGGGAAGGAGTGTGCCTAAGTGTATTTTTTGTGGTATGAATGGCCATACCATTGACAAGTGTTATAAGAAACATGGATATCGACCAGGGTGGATTCCAGGTTACAAGTCCAAGGGCAAGCAGTCATTGGATATACAACAGCCATCCAGTGCTTCCTTGAGTCAAGTAGAAGACACAGGTTTGTCAGCTGACCAATTCCAAAAATTATTGTCTCTTTTGCAAAGCCAAAACAAAGGAAATCAAGGCTCAAGAGAAGATACCAATTTAACAGTAATGTTGCTAATACTCAGTGTAACAATTTGACAGTTGAGATGTGGCATTGTAGGTTGGGGCACTATCCTATCAATAAGATACTTCTTTTGAATGGAATAAAACCTATCTCTTTTCATAAACAGCCTGAATTTGTGTGTGATGCCTGTCATTTTGCTAAGCATAAGAGGTCTATCTTTTCAATTAGTACCTCTAGAGCTGAAAGTTGTTTTGACTTGCTACATATGGATGTTTGTGGCCTTTTTGCTATGGCAACACTGGGAGGGGAACACTATTTCCTCACTATTGTTGATGATTGTAGTAGGTTTACTTGGATACACTTGATGAGGTACAAATCAGAAGTTGAGACTATGTTTCAAAACTTTTATAATTATGTGAGCACTCAATTTTCAGCCAAAATTAAAGTGGTGAGAACAGACAATGAGACTGAGTTTCTAATGGACACCTTCTTCAATGAGAAACGGATTGTTCATAAGAAATCTTGTCTTTACACACCACAATAGAATGGAGTGGTAGAAAGGAAGCACCGACACATCTTAAGTGTAATTTCAATAGTGTGATAGGAAATACCTTTCTATTGTGTAATTTCTGATTCCAAACAATATAATGTACTTTGAATACTGAACTTTTAGTGGATTTAGACAAATTCTCAAGTTGAGGAGTGCCTCGCAGATTAGTGTTGTTTGCCCGAACTGCGTTACAGATTGTTTGTGCTACAACTTCAGTTTCAACATCATTGTGTGCTGCGTTTTACAAATTTCAGTAATCATCCTACACAAGTCTTTAATCGAGATATTTGATTCCTACTCAACACTCTTGTTGGTATTTATTTATTCTTAATTATTAGTTTAATTAATTCAGATCACCCAGGTTAATTTATTCCCTCAATAAAACTAATAAAAAGTTTTGAAGTTTGTATAATGAGTCACTTTAAAACTTGAAAGAATTTGTTACATGTACTCCAAAATTCTACTCCCTCACTTTTACTCCATGACGTGGCAAACAAAGATTGACTATTTTCATCATGTGGGTCCCAGAGAATGTGTCTACATCAAGAATTTGTGAGAGGGAGTAAAAGTTCAGAGTAAGAAATGGGAGTGCATGTAGTATTTTCCAACTTGAAAATACATGTGAACATTATTATTAGATTATATTAGTAAACTATGGCTCTATACGGTAGAATATAAACAATGACCTTGTGGTCTAGTGGTACTAAGTTGCTTTCTCATATGGGAGGTTGTGAGTTTGAGTTTCAATGGAGGTGGTATTAAGCTTTCTATCTTTATCCCATCTTTTACCCATTTCAGTTAAAACCCTTTAGGCATTTTGTCATCTTTTATCCTTATTATTTTAAATAAATGACATCTTTTACCATTCTCAATTTAAATCCTTTTGACCTTTCCTCTTCTTTAAATAAATGACATCTTTTACCCTTCTCAATTAAAACCCTTTTGGTGCAGACGATAGTCTAGGATGTTAAATGGCAAAAATGATAGTCTGTGATTAAATTTGAAATTTCCACCAAAGACAAAGGATCTCTAGTGGAATTAACTCCATATTATATTATTATGTCGATGGTCCCGTTATGTAGAATTATTGGATTGGTTGTGTAGTGGGAAATTATTGAGAAGACCAAGTCAATGAACAAAGATCAAACTGCAATATTTTGTGGGTTCCATTGAGTTTGGCAGTGCTTGGAATTTTTTTTTTTTTTCATTTAGAGTAATGTTACACACATATTTTCTCGAAAATTTTACTCCTTATTTTTTCTTTTAAGGTGACACTCGCACTATTTGGTAGAGCTTTGTTTTTAGAGATTATAATTTATTTTAAATTACAAATAATGAAATAAGTCAGAGCTCTGTTTACTAAAGCATGTCGAGCTTAAAATAATAGTTTGTTTTGAATGTTCATTTAAGGACCCGTTTCAAAATAAGCTATAAGCTTTTACCATTTTTTTTCCTTTTTTTACCCTTATTAATTTACAAAAATGACATCATTTACCCATCTTTAATCAAAACTCTAATATCAAATTTTTCCTAATATCTATTTTTTTTATAGAGAACTCTTCTTTTCTCAGTTCTTTATCATGTATTTTTCGTAAAGATTCTTTCTCTTCCTGGTTCTTTACCGTACGGGTTCATCAATGTGAGAGAAAAACAACACTCATCACCCTTGCATTGTAATCATTCTAGGTTGTGTGTGTGTGTGTGTGATTACATATCACAAGATGATCGCTCATGTTGTGCTGAATTAATCACCAAATTTGGTGCTTTTGCACCAAATTGGTGCAAAAGCACGAGCAGATGATGCTTTATTGCATTGACTCGATGCTTTTGTAATTTTGCATTTTCTCAGATTGAGATAAGTTAACCAAGTATTATCAACTAATATACGAAACTGACTGACTCAGAGAATAGTCTAGTCAGTCATCTGATTTGAAAGCCGATTAGTTTAATGTTGTGATGTAAAGCAGGAAAAATAAAACAGCACATACGATGTTTTACCCAGTTCGATACAGTGTGTATCTACATTTGGGGGACGATCACCGAAGCGTGCAATCCACTAAAATAAACTCCAATGTACAAAGGTAGAGAATACAACTATCTCACCCAAGTGCCCCACACAAGGTACGTACCCAGTCTATAAAGGTTAGTGGATTGTTGAAGTCGGAGAGCCACGCATGCACAAGTCCAATGAAATCCCTTCAATTGGAGAGCTAACTCTAATGCAGTCTGCTTCACTGACGCAGTCCCACGTTGTTCCCACAACTGAGTGATCTTCGCGTCCTTTCGTTTAAGCATCAAGAAGTCTTCTCAAGTTCTTCATCATAATCTTCAAGAATTTAATGACTTGAGAGGAGCCATGATAATCAAAGATATGTGTGTTCTATATAATTTAGGGAGAGTTTTTTTCTTCGTAAAACACTCAACCCTAATTCTTGGATGAATGAGGTTACATATACATCTTTGGTAAGAAACTCTCCAAAAATATCTTTGATTGTAGATGGTAGGACTAGTTGTGAAGAAAGCAATCTTATAGATTCGGTCCATACCTTCCAAAGCAGATTCGGTGATATGCTTTCCAAAATTGTCTTGACGAAACCGTGTCCAGATTTTAAGAAACTTCGCCTTTTAGCATATCTTCAAGGGCCGAGCGTCTGTTTGATATAACTGATCAACCAGTCTCCTGTAAGATAAAGAAACAGACACCACTAAACCCTATCTTAGTTTGCCATAATAATATTGCCAATTATATGTTGGTTTATTGAATATTTCAAAACACTAACAAACTCCCCCTTTGGCTATTATTTAGCAAAACAACTCGACTAACTATCAAACAGTTTATCTAATCGAGCAAACTGTTAGCAACTAATATGAAAGATTAAAAGAGTTTGCATAGAAATAACCGAATCTGAATTACAACCCATTTAAAATCATCAGCACACAAGCCGTGCTGGATTAAAACAAGTAATCATCCAAAATCTTCACAAAGATCATAATGTTGTTATCATCATATAACAACGCCCAGACAGGGCCAAAAGGAACTTACAACCATCTTCAAAAAAACAAGAACTCCCCCTGAGTTCATCAACCATCTTCAAAAACAAGAACTCCCCATGCATTCATGACATGCACTCCCCCTTTTTGCCAAAAAAGAGACAAAGGCCAGATCAAGCACCCTGGAGGTCCTCACTATCAGACTTTACATTTGCAGCAGCAGCAGAATCAGTCAGACTTAGCCGGAGCAGAACTATTGCAAGGTCAGTGCGGGCTGAATTTAGCTGCTTGGTGATAACGTTGCTCACAGTTTCGAGTTCCGACACACGAGCCTTCAAGCGTAGAGACAGCTGCACATCATTATCATAAGACGAAGCCGCAACATTGGTATCATCATTCGGAGTAGAAAGAACCGGTGAGACATCCTTAATATGCTTGCCAGCCAGTAGGCGTGGATCAACAGTGTAAAGCAAGGATGGAAGCACAATCTCACTTGGCATAGGCACTAAGCCCTGCGCTGTCAAAACTCCGAAGATAAGATTAGGATAGGGAAGCCTGACCTTTTTCTCTCGAGGATGTATCAGAGTGAGAATATGATCGAAGATCCACTTGCCAAGGTCAACACACATTTTGGTACCAATGCGAAACAGAATGGCAGCCAATTGCTTCCCAACCGTATAGAAATGAGCAGATGGAAGCAGTTATGTAGAGTAATACGGTGCAGAATCACATACTTGGATGTGAACACAGAACAGGACAAGGTGTCTGGATCACCTGTGGGCCAATAAGGAGTTTGTCCACCAGTGAGAGTGTTCACAATTAAGTCCCAATCTGTAAGACCTTCCTCATCAACTGCCTTCAGACCATAGAAATCATTAATCACATCTGGTCCAAACACAAACTGTTTCCCTCGAATAAAGATTTGGAGACACCGTTTACCCGAAAGATTGTCGATTTCTTCATTAAGGTTGCAATAGAACTCGTAAGTCAGAAGCTTCGAGTAAGGACACTCGGAGGTGATACTCTTCATCAAACCAACTTCCTTCAGCAAGGGCAGAATATCACACACAGAGTTTAACTGGTTTTCATCAACAGATCATTGAACAATAAGTTCTCTTCTCACCATCGTAGACCATTTATCCTTAGCAGCAGCAGAGACAAATTGTGGCACGTAGATGGAAGTGTCCGGACTTTCTGCAGCAGATTGAATCACAGGAAGCACACTTCTACCTCTTGTCTTGATTGAACCCTTCACTTTCCTGGTGACACCGGTCGATATGGTAGCAGGAACCTTTGACTTAACATATGAGCGCAAAGTCTTAAAAACTTGTTGCACAGGGGGATCACTTTCAGCTTTTGTTAAATCAGCTGAACGCCTTTTCTTCATTGGTTGATCCTCCTCAGCATCGTCATCACCAGAGTTCACACTTATTTTCCCCGGGACTCCTTTGCGCTTGGACTTTATGGTTTCTCTAACAGGAGACCTATCTTTTGGACATAGAGAGACACATAGACTGGACTCAGACAAAGGAGTAGAAGAAGTTGCAAGCAAATTTGAGACATCTCTAATTCTAAAGGTAGATGAGTCTGGGTGAGCCGTCTCTTCCACAGTAAGAGGCTTGTCAGAGACAGAGATTGGAGCCTTCGAACCGTAGACTTCAGTCAGAATTCTTTCATCATCACTATCCAACTGCTCAGAGGGTTCAGGTTTAGGAATAATTTTGGAAGGTTCAGGTACAGAAGAAGAAGGCAGACCAGCGAAATATCGAGCTTGTTCCAGGCTTTCACGCACAGTAGCGAATGTATAAACAGGAATCCCATCAATCGAATCAGATGTACGAGGTACCACAATTTCAGCAGGTGCAGGCTCATCAGATAATATTTGTGGTTCCACAGACACAGTCTCAACCAATGGAACAGAGGATTTAACATCCGCAGTATACACAATCAGACTCAATTGATCAAACTTGTTCGACTCTTGCATAGTATCAGAAGATTCAATTTCAACAATTTTAGAATCAGAGACAACATTCGCAATATACACAGAGGTTGGATTCTCAGAAGACAACACAGGGTTGATATTAGCAGTATGTTCAACAGGCAGCACAGATTCAATATTATCATAAATCATCACGGAAGATTTATCAGGAGAAATTACAATTGGAGTTTCAGGATTATTGGACATTTTTTGCAGAATATCACGTCGATGTCTTGCTTCCTCCTGGGCAGCTTCCAGATAAAGAGGTTGAGCCTCTGCCCGTCGTCGAGAGACTTCCTCTGATTCCAGAGCCTTATGTGCGAAAAACTTTAGGAAGGCTCCAGCCCGATTGCCATCATCTGGTCCAGGAATAGGGGCAGGAGAAATTTCATCACCTGCTTCCGAAGCCATCATCAACAAATCACCGGTGTCATCCTCGGACCGTCTTCATAGAATTCCGGATAGTCCGAGACCACTGTAACAATAATTTCATCACGAAGAATGGGATCAAGCTTCAATTTCTTCTTCATAGCAAGAAAAAGCAGTGTATTTACGTGTTTCTTGGCAATTTCTGAGCATGAGTCTTTCTTCCTAGCTTGATGATGATGTTTCTAACAGCATCGGCCATCTCTGCGAAGAAGATAAAACCCTAGGTGGAGAGAACGAAGAGGGTTATTTGAGAGCAGAGGAACAGAGAATTATAAAAGATACTCCCAAGGATGAAGATCGAAAAGGGCAAAGGGCTCTCAGACTGCCTGCAGCTATGATGTGATTGACATAACGGTATAGGCCTTGTAGGCGATGAAGCGGACAAATTTGAAATTTGAAAAACAAATTAATTGGGGAAACCAAGAGCGAAGAGATTTTGTAACGCCAACAGATAGGAGAGAAAAGAGGAAAAGTCAACATTTGTAATTTTGACTCTAGATAAAGTAAATCAAACCTTCTCCTTCTGTTTTACCATTCTTATTTACAGGTCAATACAACAGATCCCCAGAGCAGCCCTGAGAATCTCAAACCGATTTCCGTCAAGAGGTTTGGTCAGAATATCCGACAGTTGCTTATCTGTTTGAATATACTCCAACTCTATCTCATTTGACTCTACCAAGTCCCTGATATAGTGATGTCTTATATCAATATGTTTAGTTCTGGAATGTGGGACAGGATTTTTCGAAATGTTTATAGCACTGACATTGTCACAATAGAGAGTCATAGTCTTTTGAGTGAGACCATAATCAGAGAGCATTTGCTTCATCCATACCAGTTGTGTGCAACATCCACCAGCAGCTATATATTCTGCTTTTGCAGTACTTAGAGAGATTGAATTCTGTTTCTTGCTTATCCATGAGACTAAGTTCTTACCGGGAAGAGACTGGGACAATGGCATGAGAAGGTACTGGCTCTGTATGTAACACCCCGTGTTACGGCCCCTAAAACCATTTAATTAATCAATCTTTAGCCCAAGTGAAGGAATAAATCATAATGACTAATTAGGGAAAAAGGCCCACCATAGTCCATGGGCCCTCATGTAGAAACCCAACCCCTAAACCCAATCCTTAGTTCCGAAAGGAATAGAATTAGCAAGCCTATAATATTAGTCCCTCATTAGGACTCCTAAATATATATAAATAGGGGACTTAAGAGACACCTAGGATGCCCCACCACCCCTGAAAGAGCTCCAAGAATCCCCTTAGGAGAAATCAAGAAAGCGAGAAAGCTTAAAGAAAGATCCTTCATAGCCAAGGAATTAATTAAGGCTAAAAGGTAACCCATGTCTCAACAAAACCTATTCTCATAGCTATGATTTCCCCTTAGGGTTTCCCCATATTATTGTGTATTGGCGAAATATTATTGATGTTTGATGTGATGATCCCATGAGGGATCTTGATAATCTTGATATTGGGAGATTCTTGATAATTATGATATTCTTGATGATTATATGGAGTTCTTGATGATTATGTGTGTTCTTGATAATTGGGTGATGCTCTTAATGTTTATGTGTTATTCTTACCGAATCTTGCAATTAGAAGACGAACCGTATTCTTGTGATATAAAAGTGATTAGAACCCTAGGTTGTATCGTATGATCTTATTCTTGGATTATCGGGTGGGAAATCGCATGTTTGGGTGTTGATTATGATTAGAAAAGCATGTTAGGTTATGTGTCGTTCGTCTATCGTATTTTGATCCGTTAATTGCCTATGTGTTGCCGTAATTACGTTGTAAAATGTCTAAGCATGGTTTCGGGTTCCACAACGGTTCCCGGGACGAAAGTTTGTGAAAAGAGTCAGTGGGGGGTAGGTGGGGGGGTAGGGGACCCGCCACCTACCCACGGCCGAGAAGCACTGTTCCGGCAGCGGGCAGCCGGCGGGCGGGCAGCTGCCCGCCGGCGACCCGCTGCCCGGAACAGTATTGTCCGGCGGGCAGCCGGCGGGTGACACCCCACCCACCGGCTACCCGCTGGAATTAATCCCCCCTCGGGACCCCGGCTTCCCCGTTTGATGTTTCCCCGATCCCCGTGGTGTCCCAACGGACCCCGTTTGTCGTGCCTATGTCTAGTTTGATGTTTTGGGTACCGTTCGTAGGGTTATGAGTCCATTATATCGCATGCTAGTTGAATTGGTATCCCGTTGACCTAGGCGAAAGAAGTATGAACCCCTTAGGATTATTCTTAGTATGTGATGGATCACGCATAGGTTTGTTATACGCTTTATCCCCCTTCCCAATGTGTAATGTGGGTTGCATGTGCTTGCTACGTGTTATATGTGTGTGTTACCCCAATTCGGTTGCGATCGGATTGGTTATCCTGAGCTGCGGTTCAGAAGCCAGCTACAGTCAGATGGGAATTCCTGGCTGCAATCGGGTGACGGTATCCTGGGCTGCGGTCCAGAAGCTGGTCGTAGTCAGACGGGAATTCCTGGCTACGATCAGGTGACATTTTCCTGAGCTGCGGTTCAGAGGCTGGCTGTGGTCAGATGGGAATTCCTGGCTACAGTCAGACGACACACTCTCTTGGGCTGCGGTCCACAGTTTGGTTGAGATCAAACATTATGATGAGCTGCGGTTCATCGGTCGGTTGCGATCGACCCCTCCGTGTTGCGATACGGGGCAGGGTGCTGCGGGGCCGTGTCAGAGCTATATGCGCTGACCCTCATGTATGGGCATGCGATTGGTCCTGTGGCGCCAACCAAGTGTGCTATGTGTGGTGATATGGACGAGTTGTGACTATGAGTGCCTTGGGATGTGACTATGGGATTTATATTGGGGATTGTTTATGATGAGTTATGGTTATTGTTTATGCTTTGCCTTATCTGCCTTATCTATTGTGAACTGCATATGCTCGTTATAACTGTGTTTGTGTCTGGCCTTATCTGTCGAGTCATTCCCGGTTTTAATGGCTAGAGTTCGTAGGATATATCTCCGTGTTCATAATGGTTTTCGTATATCTATATATATCTCTATATGTATTGTATTTCAACGCGTTGAAGTGGGTTACCAGCATCTCTCGCTGAACAGATATATTTGGCTTTCAGGCACAGATGACTAGAGCACTGGACCGCGCTAGAACTGGAGTGTAGAAGTAGAGTAGTTTCCCTTTCGGCCTGCGTGCCATGTTATGCATTATGTTTCAATGGATATTAGTTAGACCGCCTGTGCACCTGGGTTCTCTAGCCCAGGTGTGGCATAACACCCCGTACACTTATGAGATACTTGGGATGTAATGAGATTTTGCCTTTATTATTTAAGTTTAAAATATCTTGAAAACCTGGGGTGTTACAGTTGGTATCAGAGCCTAAGTTTGACCCTAGGAAAGACTCTTAAGACCGGACTTTAGGACATTAAGCTTGAACTCTAGGTATCTAGGAACATAGGACTCAGGAATCTTAGGACGCGCGGTGAGATTGTGAAACCTACACACAACTCCCCTACACCTTACTCTTCCACATTCTAAAACCCTTCCCCACTTAGCACTTCATAAGAAGTGCGTCAGACTCTAATTTAACATTCTTATGGAACGCTGACCAGAAAGACGATAGCATGGCACCAAACAGAAGGCAATCAAGAACTCCAGAGCCCACCACAGCCGACCCCTTGACCCAAACCCTACAGCAGCTGACACAAGTCGCACAGGCTCTAAGTGACGCGGCCCTTCGCAACAACAGGCCCCCACCACCTCCATCAAACGCAAACTCAGACGTCGCCCGACAAGTTTCAAATCACCGACCACCCACGTTTTCGGGAGAAGAGGATCCCGCGGTTCTAGAAGAATGGATCCGAACCCTTGATAAGATTTTTGGGGTAGTAGAATGCCCGGAGGAACGCCGCGTAGAGATAGCCTCGTTCTACTTCGGACACGAGGCTGATCTCTGGTGGATCCACGAGGGGCCCACTTATCAACAAGAACCGGGATTCAATTGGGAGAACCTCAAGACACAACTACGAGAGAGATTCTATCCAACCCACGTAAAAGCATCTATGTACGAAGAGTTCCTTCATCTAAAACAAGGAACGGCCACCGTCGTAGAATACCATAAGCGATTCCTAGAGCTGGCATGCTTCGCGCCAGAGCTAGTCCCCACCGAAGTAACCAAGATAGAGAGATTCATGTCAGGCCTCAACTTCGAAGCTCGAAAGGCGCTAGTGGTAAGCAGACCTCGAACCCTCAACGAGGCTTACTCCAGTGCCGCGAATCTCTATCGAATCCAACTACTCCAACGCGGAGTTCAGGAACAAATACGAAGAAGAAACACTGGAAGTGGGGCACCGCCGATGAAAAGAACGAGAAACGACACCGGCACCAGGTCGAACAACCCGACCAACCAAAGACCGCCCCTGGGAAACAACGAAGCTAATCCAAGAGGTTTCCCTTGCCCGAGATGCAACAAAAGCCACCGGGGCAAGGATTGCGCGGGCAACCCCTGGCGATGCTTCAACTACGGGGAGGAAAGACACAAGGCCTTTCAATGCACTCGGCCCCAAAGACCGCGTCCCACCACCACGGGCCAACACGGGGGTACCGGTCACCAAGGGGGCTACGGCGCTCCCGGAAAAGTATTCGTCATGAGCCAAACGCAAGCCGACCTCGGAAACGAAGAAGGCCTAGAAGGGGAAAACCCAATCCCTGAAGACGAGGACCATACGGACCCCGCCGAAGAAAACCCCGAGCGAATTCTGTCTAGGATAAACCATCACCCCCTTGTAACCGCCCCCTGTATCACATAGACCACTTCTTTAGTTTAATTACTTCGAGAGCATTATGTCTACTTAGCTTAACTACTTAGAAGGTATTATGAATAAAGATTCCTTTCGTTCAAATTCCGATTCCGCTACGAGAGTAAAACACAAGTTAAACCATCAACCCCAACCCTCCCCCACTAAAAGACAAAATAAGGAAAAAGACAGAGAAGGGCC